AGGCTCTGGGGAGCCCAAGAGCTATCCCAGACCCTCACAATTGGGGGAAGGTCCAAGGGGCTGGGCTGGGAGCTAGATGCGTGGTGGCCCTCACGCCCATGGAGACCAAGCGAATGGAGTTCAAAGTGGCTACTTTTAGGGACAGTGAAAGGATGTGATTTGCTTGGCCCTGGGGATGTACCAACCAAAGGTAAGTGATTCGGTGACGCCTAGCCACACAGGCGGCAGGAGTTCAGAGGGGGTGGGGTCATGAGGGCTGCAGGGGCCCACAGGGAGGGAGAAACACTCCAAGAAACACAGAACCTGGGGAATGCTGCCCAGGACACTGAACCCACACCGTGAGCAGCGGGGAGAAAGGCACCAAGTAACTGACACACAACCTGATGGGAAAGCCTAAGGCGGAGGGGAGGACGGGCAGACGCCAATCTGATCAAAGGGAACAGAATTTCCAGAGGGCGGGCGGTGGAAATCAAGTCCAACCAGACGACGGACACTCTGCCTCTCTGTGGCCTGGACCAGCTTGGCCGGGAGGGGCCCAGCTCCTGGAGTCACAGATGCCACACCCAAGTGGTTGGTGACTGATGGAAGGACATCGTGAGGGGTGGCAGGAAGGGAGGACGTTCTCTAGCATTTAAATATATCCCAGCTTCAGGGAATGGCTTCTTCTCCAGGTAAATGTGCATAGGTGGGAGGAAGCGCCCTAAGACGGCATCGCCTGAAACTCCAGACACAGACTGCGAAGGCCTCGTGTCTGAAAGGGAGCAAAGTGACCCAGTAAAGGGCAGAGCAGGGGTAGGGGATGTCAGCTGAGCCCCGTTCTGGGGAATGGGAATAAAGAGGGGAGAAGGGGCCTTGGCTTGTTGATTCTAGATCCACCGACAACAGCCATGGCTCTGAGAACACAGGTACGTTCCCGAAACGACGCCACGCCACCCTCCTTAGTCCAGCCCCTGCCATGGGCCCCACTCCCAGCACCCCGTCACCAAGAGGAAAGTCCTGACAACCACACCGGCTGAGACTGCGAGGGGGCAGCTTGGACGCGTGGAGCTGGGGAGGGGAGAGGAGGCGTCCACGGCAACCAGTGGCCACGGGGTCACTGGAGGAAGGCCAGCTCCTGAGTGGAGGCAAGAAAGGAGAAGCGGGCAAAGCCAGGCAGACTGCAGAAGGGGCTCCGGGGCTCAGGTTGGGAGGTCCCCGCAAAGGCAGGGGCTCTGGAGCTTCCACTGAGGAGTCACCCAGGCATCTGCATCAGGCCATCGGCCCATGGAGGGACAGAGCTCTTTGAAACGGCTCCCTCGGTACACTGGCTGTTATCACCACAGAAGCTGCAGGAGAGCCTGGTCAGTTCCTCAGCGTTGGGCGGGGGTGGGGTGCTCCTCCGAGACAGAGCACACTCAGCGCGAGGGGAGCCCCTGCTCAAAGGAGCATCTGGGCATTGATTCCACAAGTGTCTATCTCACACCGGCCTTGGGCATGACCGGTCCACGCCGGGAACTAACCGCCCAGAAGGTGGCAGCTGTGCGATCACACAATTACAGCGAGCTCTCTAGCCCTCCTGGTCCAGCAGAACCAAGGGAGGACTTCTTTGCAGCCAAGTCATCAAACTGAGTATTGTTTCAGACCCCCCAGTGATGTTGCCCAGTCATTCATCCTGTGGGGCAGGATGGCTAAGTAACATTCAGAAGTTAATTCAAAGTTGCCCTTTAAGTGGACTGAGGGCGCCGTGGTGGACTGAATCCAAAGGTGTGAAATACTACCCAAGGGCACGAGAGCCCACAGAGCAACTCAAGCCTCACCTGGGCTAGTCTCCACTACCCTGAAAACACCATCAGTGGAAACTTGCTGAAGAACCAGTATTTTACAATTCCAAAGTACCGAGTCTCGATAAGGCAGCCAGTCCCCAGGGCATCAGAAGGTTTTGTTTCAGAATGGATCATATCTCAATCTATTTCCCACTTTTAATATATTATGAAGAAACAACTAGGGAGGATTAATTATTCTATTCCTCTTTACCATAAGAAGTGACCTTCCCCCTAACAAAAAATATAAGAATTTATCAGGAAGACAGTACTTAGACAAAAGTCTGTCTTCCTTAGTAAGAGACTTGGAACCAGAGGAATGTGGACAAAATGCAGTTGGACCAGCTTTAAAAGAGGGAAAACAATGATAACATCTGCCCCACAGGTTGACGTGAAGATAAAACGAGATCACATCTAAGAGACTCGTCCGGACTCCAGAACACACGATACTTACAGAACATACTACCAGATGAGCACGAATCTGCCTTGGCGGAACCAAGCGTACCTCTGGTTCATAGTGATTAAAGACCGAGTGTCTGGCCAGCTCTGTTAAAAACAACACTGAGTTTGGACGCACACATGGGAACAGCGACCCCAGGGCCCAGGGTGAGGAGGCCAGCATTTGTAGAGACACGATGTTTCCATCAGCAGGTTAAGCCGACTTCCCAGTGTGGTTGATGCCATGACCCTGGGTCGCTCTGAGCCGCCTGCAGAGCTGGTCTGGGAACCCAGCAAATCCTCCGGGGGCTGAATGTTCTGGCAGGTGTTCTGAACAGGCCCAACTTGTTGACCAGAAATCCAACCCATCCCAGTGCCAACTAAGAGAGACAGGCCCCGACCCCTCTGCTGGACACAGTCTGTAAGACAGTGGCTTCTGAGGTCCCAAGGGCCTCTGCGGGAAAGATTTTTTAAGAGGAGCAGAGAAAAGGGACATTTGCTGGTGTTTTCCCCGCCGATTAGAGCAGACAAGACTCTGAGCTAACTGGGGGAAAGACCATGGAGGACACTCCCTGGAGGGGAAAGGCGGAGGCCAGTGGTCCCCTCCCGCTCCTAGAGGCAGCCGTGCTGACGGGAAGCAGCAGAGCTGTCCCAGAGCAGCAAGAGGGCTGGGCTGCCACACTGCTATCTGCCAGAGCAGCTGGGCTCAGCTTCTCTGATAGGGACACGCTCCCTCACCAGCTAGCACAGACCTCTGCCCTGAGGCCCCCGCTGCGTCCTTACCACTCGGCCTGCCCTGACCCCTCCCCCAGGACGCCAGGATGCGGCATCTGTCACCGCGGGGGGCCTCCAGGACTTTCCAACTGGTCAGGGCTGGTGGTGAAATGTTTTAAGGACCCCCTGACAGAGGGGGGCCAATCCCGGAGGGAGTTTATCGACCTGCATCATCTCATGGGGTGGAGGCCGAGCAGGTAGGCGGGCAGCCTCTCTTCCAAAGCCCAGGGCCCAGCTGCCTCAACCATCGGCCCCCGTTCTTATTCCCATCAGCGTCCGCTGCAAGGTAAACACTAACCCCAAGAGACACTCGGTTTAAACAACTGGGAGTGGCGTTTGCCATCTCTAACTAGAGCAAAAGCGAGGGAGCACAGAGCTCCCCACAGGGCGACTCAGGGTGGAGACTGTGAAAACCACTCACAGCCCAGGGAAGGGCAGCCATTCTGCCTTGGCCCACCCACGCAGCACCGCCCCGCCCACTGGAGGACCGCAGGGTCTCCCTTCCACCAACCTCCAGCGAGGACAACCTCCCCACTTAACCAGGAAAGTCCCCAATGTCTGAGACTCAAACATCACAAACTTAGCTCCCAATTCTTTGTCCTCTTTTTGTATATCGATCAAATAATGCACCACATACCACGAAGTTGTTAGAAATTAAACCAAGAGTGTGCACTTGTACTGCCAATTAAGTCAGAATGGAGAATTAATGATAATGCTTGACAACCCCACCTCCCCATCTGACACACATGCACACACACACACACTCTTTCCTGTAGAGGAAATCTTTAAGAAGGACATGGCCAGACCTGTAGGAACTCTTTGTTTGTTTGTTTTGCGGTACGCGGGCCTCTCACTGTTGTGGCCTCTCCCATCACGGAGCACAGGCTCCGGACGCGCAGGCTCAGCGGCCATGGCTCACGGGCCCAGCCGCTCCGTGGCATGTGGGATCTTCCCGGACCGGGGCACGAACCCGTGTCCCCTGCATCGGCAGGCGGACTCTCAACCACTGCGCCACCAGGGAAGCCCTGTAGGAACTCTTAACTGCCCATTACAATAGCCGGTTTATACAGCTGCCCTGAAGCTATGATTTTAAACTAGGTCTTTAAAGTCCATATCTCTGCTTTAGTTTTTGTTTTTTAATGTGCAGCTACCTGGATTATACACACCTTGTTGAAAACGTAGGAGGAATTTTGTATCTGTACTAGGGTTGGGTGATGACTGAAACACAAAGGGAGACATAATCCTATAAGCCACAGCACACCATACATGTCCCCTAGGAGACAACAGGCCTGTGAAACAGGTAACATGTCCATGGAACAGAAAATGTTCACTTTTCACTAGGCCAATTGGTTACCACAAATAATTTCTTTCCCTGAACAACGCAAACAAGCAGGGTTTTCCCTATTTCGTACAAGAGGAGGGAAGCAGGAGACCAGCTATCTTACTGTGTGCAGGTCCCAACGCCTGCTTCTAAGAGCAAGACAAGTCCTTGATGGAAAATGTACAAAGTAACTGAGCTGGCAAGAAATCAGAAGGAAACACCCAGACCCCTTTCTCTCTGTTACACAGGTATGACACCTTCTGAAGCTCATACTCAAACAGGAAAAGAGAACAAAAGTTACTACATATCCATTATTTTGATCTTATCTGATTAGGTGGTTTTCTATACCTGCTGGGTTGGATTTTAAAGGAATGCCTGTACAACAGGAAATCAACTCCAGCACAAAAAATAAAGTCATGTGGAATTTTTGAAAACTGCCACACGGTGGGATCCGTATCCTAGTTGTTATAATGAAAATAGAACGTCTGCTTCTTAATTTTAAAAAAAGATATATAAATCTCAGTTCTGTTAGCCCACTGTGCCTGATGTTAAAATGGCACGTGAAGTTGGTCATGGAGAAAGTGGCCGCACGGGAGCTGCACACAAAGGGGCAGAGGGGACATGAACCCCCCCAGGGCACATCCGGGTAGCACCTGGGGGAGACGTACCTGGGTGTGCCCGAGGGTTTCCAGTACCGGCAGAAGAGGTACTGTCCATCGGCGTTGACCAGGTGAGGGAGGTCCTGGTACGGAACACTCTGCGGGGTCCGCCTGGGAGAACTTTCCTCTGGCATTCTGAAAGGCTCTTCAGGTCCTGGGAAGGAAGAAGGACACATTCCAAAGTCAGGGATATGGCAAAACACATAGAGATCAGGAGGGAAACCTTGTTCAGAGTCAGTAACAATTTTTTAAAGCAGGTTAAAAACAAAAAACCTCCATTTCAAAGCTTTTAAAAATACATATATATTCCTTAAGACTGAAAAATCCCACTCGTTCCTAAGAAAAATGCTCACTTTATTTTTTAAGTGCCTCGTTACAGCTTTTCCCCCTTCCCATCTGTGTTTATTTTAAATCATTTCAGGAAACTTCATCTTAAAGACTACTTTAGCTGTAATCAAGTGGAAATTATAGTCAGCTCTATGGGTATAAAGACCCAGCTGCAAAAGACCCATCTATCTTAAAATCCCCAAGGAAGTTTCAAAGGGGCACGATAACGAGGTGGATGATATTGCGATTAATTCCTCCTGTCTGAAATTCCAAGGATGCCGTGACAAACCTGTTTCCATCACGTCCTGGCTTTTGCGGTCCACAACCACACAGCCTTGACAGTTAGAGCCAGGCAAACACGGGCTGTTCCCTCACCTCCGCGGTCACAGGTTCCCACCTCAGAGCCCTGGCTCACATATGCCGCCTGGGCTTGAAGGGTGCGGCGCCCTCTCAGCCCTCCGGGGCCGGCCTCCCTCCGCGGGGCGGGCAGCGGGCGCCTGCGAGCCTCCACTATTAGTTCACCATCACTTTTCCTAAACAAACCACTGAGGCGGCGTGAAGGGGGGCCGGGAGCCCGGCGCCCACTGCCCGGGAAGCCAGGGAACCAGCTCCGCGCTCCCAGGCCCCCCGCACACGCACACATGCGGGTCCCCGAGGAAAGTCACCCGGGCTCCCGACAAACTTTATTCCCCTCCTGTCTCCACCAGCGCAGGCAGCACAGCCCCGCGCTGTCTCTGGAGGTGCTGCCAGCTGCTCTGCTCGCGGACGGGCACGGGGACACGGAGTTGACAGGTCCAAGTTGGTTCGGGGCTGCTGCTGGGGAGCGGGGCGCGCGCGCACCAATGCACACACAGACACGCGCGCACACGCGCGCAGGGGCGCGGGAGCCCACGCCGAGCCCGGACGCGGGGACGCGGGGACGCGGGGACGCGGGGACCCGGGGCTGCCCCACCCGGGGACGGCGCGGCAGCCGGGGGCGGGTACGGGAGGCAGTTACCGGGGCCACGAGCGCCGCTGTCGCGTCCCCGAGCGCGGTCCTCGTCTGTGGCGGGCTAGGGCCGGAGAGCTGCGCGCTGCCGGCTCCGCAGAGACAGGGCGCGGCGTCCGCGCCGCCACTTATCCCGGCTCTCCGCGGGGGCGGCCGGAGGGGGTGGGAACGCGAGAGGCGGCGCCGGGCCCACGTGTGCGGCTGGCGGACCCGCCACGCGCTCCTCCCCGCCGGCCGCGCCCCGGGGTGGCCGCGCTGGGGACTGTCACTCCCCGAACGGGGTCGGCTCTCGGGAGCCTCCGAGCGGGAGGACACGCCACACCCACGCGCGCACACACCACGCGCGCACACCCACCCGCACAGAGACACATGCAGGGACACACATGCACACAGACCTCCCCACAGATACACACACGTGGGCACCACGCATGCAAACAACAAACTGCACGGACACACACTCAATACACAAAGACAGACACACGCGATCCACAGAGACACACAAACCCACATAACACATAAAAAGGAACAGAGAGGCACTCAGACACAGACACCCCATGCAGACAGAGACACACACACATCACACACACACACCACACAGTCAGACACACACACAAGAAGCTGGGGGTTTGGGGGAGGATGTGCACAACCCCCAAGAGGTAGGGTAGAGGCAGACAAGTGCAGGCCTTGCCCCAGAAACCCTCCCTGGGCTCCTAACAAAACCCCTGGGAACAGGGGATTCTGAACAGCTTCCAGTGCAGCTGGCAGTGTAGCTGGGGCACAGGGACAGCACTGGATCACAGTCTAGACCACCTGGGCTCAACATCAGCACCTCCAATTTGCCTGTGAGGCTTCGTCTCCTCACCTGCAACCCACGACTGACAGTAATCTCTGTCCCTGAGTGACAGGTGCCCCTGCTCACACTGACCTCGGAAGGCCTTTGCGTCCTTCCTTCTTTCACAAACAACTTTACACCATAGCAGTGTTGAAAAGAACCACTGTCCTCCAGAAACTCCCATCTCAGGGTCACACGTCTTGAGGGGGGGACCCAGGCTGCTTAAGGCCTGTGCTCCAAATTAAGAAATACCACGAGAGAAGCCGCTGAGAAGCCGCTTGGGTGTAAGCGCTGCGGAGAGGGGTGGCTAAGTGACAGGACCCAGGCACGCCAAGACTGGAGCAGCCATCTCAGAGCAGAGAGCCCGGAGGCGGAGGCTGTCACGCTGCAAGCACCTGGATTAGAATTTATCCAAGGAGTGGCCATTGGGGTCCAATGGACATTGTGGGGGACCCAAAGCCCACCAAGTCCCCTGTATGCAGTTGTTTCACATTTTCCCAGCTCCAGCGTCTCATGATTTTGAATACACACTGTGAAAGTCTGGGGGACAGTTTTCAGCAGAACCCCAGTGGAAGTGATGGTTAAGAGCTTGAAGAGTCTCTCCTAGTTTGGTTACCAACGTAAACGAGAGCACGGGGGTTGGTCAGCACCCACACTGGGAGTTAGGAGAGTGGGATTGTGCTGTTCCGTATCTGGCTTTTTTTTTTTAATTAAACTTTTTATTTTGAGAAAATTGTAGGCTCGATTATTCAATTATATAAACGTAGATTCAATTCAGAAATAATACAGAGAGATACTGTGTACCCTTTAATCCAGAGATAACATCTTGCAAAACTACAGGGCCATGTCACAACTGGGATATGGATGTTGACATAACCTTTCAACCCCACAAAGATCCCTCATGTTGCCCTCTTCTAGTTACACCCTCTGCTCTCCCATCCCCACTCTCCCCACACCCCCTGGTAACCACTAAGATGTTCTCCATCTCTAAACTTTTATAATTTAAGAAGTTTTATAAATTGAATTGCACAGTGTGTAGCCTTTTAGGATTCGCTTTTTCCTTTCAGCATTTCCAGGTTATCATGTAGTATCCCATGGTATGGACGTGCCACATGGTTTAACAGTTCACCAGGTGAAGGACGTCTGGATTGTTTTCAGTGTCTGGCTACTACGAATAAAACTTCTGTAAACATTCATCTGCAGGTTTTGCATGTCTCTGGGATAAATGCCCTGGAGTACAATTGCTGGGCCCTATGGAAACTGCATGCTTAGGTTTTTAAGAGATTGCCAAAACGTATTTCAGAGTGGTTGTCCCATTTCATATTCCCACCAGAAATGTATGAGAGATCCAGTTTCTCATCAACTTGTCCGCATTTACCGTTCACTGTTTCTCTGTTTTTGTTTAGCCATTCTGTTAGATATATGGTGGTATCTCACTGCGATTGTAATTTTCATTTGTCTAATGGCTCATGTTGAGTATCATTTATGTACTTATTTGCCATCTGTATATCTAATTTACTGGATGCCTCTTCATGGCTTTTGACCATTTCCTAATTGGATTTTTTTTTAGTTTCTATTTGTTTTAGTTTTTACTGTTGAGTCCTGAGAGTTCTATATTTTAGATATTAATCATCTGTTGGATATGATTTGCAAATATTTTTTCCCATTTGTAGCTTGTCTTTTCATCTTGTTAATGTGGTCTTTTGCAAAGCAGAAGTTTTTAATTTTTATGATACAATTTATCAGGTTTTCACCTTACAGAGTTTGCTTCTGGTGTCAAGTCTCAGAACCCTTTACCTCGTACTACATCTGAAGATTTTCTCCTATGTTTTTCTCTTTACATTTTACATTTCAGCCTCTGATCTAGTCTAAGTTAACTGTTGTATAAGGTGTGAGACTTAGATCAGTTTTGTTTTTTGTGTTTTTTGTCTGTTCATGTCCAATTGCTCCAGTTTGCTGAAAAGGCTTCCCCTGCCCCCCACTGAACTGTTTCGCAACTTTGTCAAAAATCACTCTGCCCAACTTGTTAGATCTGTTTCTGGATTCTCCATTCTGTTTTGATCTATGTGTCTATTTCTTCATCAGGACCTCACTGTCTTCATTATTGTAGCAATCTAAGAAATCTTAAAATTGGATAAACTGGTTCCTCCCACTTTATGCTTATTTTATACATTTTTTAGCTATTCTAGTTCCTTCACCTTTCAATATAAATTTTAGAATAATCTTGTCTATATCTATAAAAAGTCTTGGTAAGATTTTGATAGGAATTGTGTTAAACATGCACATCAATTATGCTGATGACATTGTTACTACGTTGATTCTTCTTGGTATGTCACTCCATTTATTCAGGTCTTCTTTGAGTTCCCTCGGTGTCGTATAGTTTTTAGTATACACGTTTTATACATCTTTTGTCACATTTACATCTTTCTTTTTTCAAATAATTGTAAATGTCATGTATTTTTGATCTCGGTTTCCATGTATTCACTTCCAGTGCATGGAAAGACAACTGATTTTTGTAGGTTCATCTTGTATCCTCTGACCTTGCTGAACTCACTTAGTAGGAGGGTGTTTGTTGTTGTTGTTTGTTTTTGTAGCTTCCTTGGGATTTTCCATATGGACTATCATCATATTTGGAGTTTCTTGTAGGCAACATATAGTTGGTTCATTTAAAAAAAATTAATTCTGCCAACCTCTGTCTTTTAATTGGTATATTTAGAACATTTACTGTAACGATTGTTAAGTTAGGGCTTAAGTCCACCATTTTATTTGTTTTCTGTTATTTCTCTTTTTCCTTTTTCTGTTTTATTTTTCTTGCCTTCCTGTGGGTTACTGGAACAGGATCGTTTTATAATTCTATACATGTTTATTTATCTGTACTGTGTTTGAGTGTATTTCTTTGTATAGACTTTTAGTGGTTGCTCTAGTACTGCAAATACATAGAGAGAGCATATATTGCATGTATATTACATATATATGCATATATGTACACATATATCACGTTCACTGATATCATTTTACCAGTTCTAGCGAACTATAAAAACCTAACATCTCCTTACGTCCCTTCACTCTCCCCCATTTATACTACATTTGTCAAATATTTCCTCTATGTACTCTGAGAAACAGATCAGACTGTGTTATAATTTTTGCTTTGACCATCAGATATAATTTAGAAAACTCGAGAGGAAAAGTAAAACCTATTTTATTTCCATGTATTTTTCCTCACCATGTTCTTTTTTTCCTTCCTGGTATTCCAAGGATCAATTTATCATTTTCTTTCTGTTTAGAGAACTTACTTTAGCCATTTTTTGAGGATAGGTCTGCTGGAAAAAAATTCTCTTTATTTTCCTTCATTTGAGAATGTCTTGATTTCCCCTTCATTCCTGAAGGATATGTTTGCTGGATATAGGATTCTGGTTAATAGTTCTTTTCTTTCAGGACTTGAAACAGGTTTCGCCACTCTCTTATGGCCTCATGGAATCTGAAGAGATATCCACTGTCATTCAAATTGTTTTTCTCTTACAGGCAACATGTCCTTTCTCTCTTGCTGCTTTCAAGATTCTTCTTTGACTCCAGTTCTCAGAAGTTTGATGATGCTGTGTCTTAGCATGGCTCTCTTAGAGTATGTACCATCTGAGGTTTGTTCACCTTCTTGGATTCATAGCTTTATGTCTCTTGCCAAATCTAGGGCATTTTCAGCCATTATTTCTTCTGTTCCTTTTTCAGCCCCGCCATCTTTTCTCCTCTCTCTTTGGGACTCTGATGATACAAATGTTAGATCTTTCATTATATTTCCATAGGTCCCTGA